CCCCAGAATGAGAAACAACTTTAAATCATAATTATTGACGGATAAATAAACTTTTTACACGCTTTGGAAAATCTCAGAAGTTCGCGGTAGTCACTTTTCGGTAAGGAACTAAGGGACTCGGTTATTGTATCGAGCAGGGTTCGAAACGATCGCAAAGGCGGTATACTACGTATACGCGCCAAAAAACAAGCAGAAAGAGCATAAAATTTCCTACCAAAATCACCCTCCCTTGTATTTACTGGCTTAATTTTTTGGTCGTAAAATTGACGTTTTTCTAAAAAATTAGCTAAAATAAGGCGCATTTTTGCTGATTTTATAAGAAACCGTCAAGTCACCTAACTTGGAACAGACACCTAACTTGGAACAGTTGGGGGAATTTTTCGTCTGCCGCTCGTGGCAGCACTGCTTCTCTCTGTTTGTTTACCTTTGTGTGCAGATCTCACCGGCTATGGGTTAAGGCAGCGAATGAAGCAGCAGAATCCTCGTTGAATCCTGTTCCAAGTTAGGTGACTTGACGGAACTTTGATTCATATCTCCAGCCACGATTATCTGAGAAAAAAAACTGCTATGCTCATTGAAAAGAGCGTAAAATTTACTTTCAGAAAACATATGTCAATAGTTCCTTAACTGATTTAATCCTGTGAAACAGCAGTTGATTAGCTCCGCCCTTAAATTGTGATTATGTCAACCATCTCCTTTAAAATCAAGAAGCAAAGAAGAAAAAAACCTAAAAACGTGGCCCAAACTGTGTAACAAGGTGGTAAAATAGTGTTGGGCCCACATTATTTGAGGGTTAACAAAGCCAAAAAGATCAAAAATTTTCAATCAGAGCCAAAATTGTTTAGCTCCAATGAGGATCAGTACAAAACTGATGGGGGAAAGTGTTAAGCTCAAGCAGTTTGCATTAGAATATTAACATAAAGCCCAATCTCACCCTAATAGAATTAATAGATGGACAATTAAAGATAAAACCAAACTGAATGCTTCCAAATCTGTAGAAGTTGTTTTCACTAACAGACCATTCACCCACATACCACATTTATTGGGTGAAAACCAAATTCCTTTCGATAAAGTCTCTAGATATTTAGGTATTCACTTGGATTCCAGGCTCAAGTGGGGAGCACAAATAAAGAAAAAGGTTGATCAACTGCGCCTGAAATTTACAAATACGCAGTGGCTGTTAGGCCGCAAATCACAGTTATTCCTTCTACTAAAATTACTCCTCTACAAGTCAATGTTGAGGCCAGTTTGGAGTTAAGGTTGCCAATTGTGGGGTTGTGCAGCCAAGTCAAATCTCGACAAGATCAAAAACATGCAAATAGAAATACTAAGAAGCGTAGTTAAAGCAAGATGGTTTGAGAGAAACCCAGATATTCGCGCTGACCTCGACATAGACTCGGTAGAGGACTACATCACTAAGATGTGCAACTCTTATGAAGCCCGACTTCATCGGCACCATAACCCAGAAGCACTTGCTCTCTTGGAGTTGGACCAATGCAGAAGGAGACTAAAACACAGAAAGCCCCATGAGCTTGGAATCCAGGGGTTTACAAAATTTTTCCCTTAAAGAAAGAGATTAAAACGTGCCTCCTCGTTCTCCTCTGACATGATTGGAGGTTCTTTGGACTTTCACCAGGTTCGATTGTCCATATTTGGTTAAAGTAAAAAGACGTTTTTATTTTGTAGTAATCATGAATTTCATTTTCTCCTCGATACATTGAGGTAGAATTTTATATTGTTGGAATTTGTAAATTTAGTTAAGTATTAATTCTTAGAGATTAACTGAGCTTTTTAGAGACATAGTAGATGTTTAAAAGTGTACTTTGTACGTTTATTTTGTGCAAAAAAAAAAAAAAAAAAAAAAGAAAAATGGAATATTAAGTTGAGGTCACGTCGAGAGATCTATAATTTTGGGCGTTTTCATACCTCATCAGTAGATCACACTCGTCAGTGAACCCAACTGAAAATCTTGCAAAATCCAAGACAGCATCAAAGCACAAGTTCAAAGTACAAGTTTTGTACTACAAGATGGCAAGTTTTGTACTGGTACTCATTAGAGCTCAAAATGTTTGATTCTGATTGAAAATTTTTGAACTTTTCGGCTTTTGATCTCACTGATGAGGTATGAATCACCCAAAATTATAGATCTCAACGTGACCTCAACTTAATATTCCAACGCAAACTGCCTGAGCTGAACACTCCTCCCCATCAGTTTTGTACTGATTCTCGTTAGAGCTAAAAAAAATTTCCTTTAAAAACTTCGCTTTTTTTAGCTAATTTTTGAAAAAAAAAAAAAAAAAAAAAAAAGTTAATTTTACGACCCAAAATTTAAGCTAGAAAAAAAATGAGAGGGTGATTTCCGTAGGAAATTTTATGCTCTTTCTCCTGATTTTATGTTTTTTTCGTGGGATGAACCGTAGAGGAAATATTTGCAAAAATCAAGTCATGGGTTTTCTCAATTTTGAAAAATTCAAAATGGCGGCGTCCTGAGCACCAGACAATTTTTCTGAAGTTAATATGTGCATCTTCGGACTTCTTTAGCATCTAGAAATCGAAAAAAATTGGTTTGGTTCGAAGGACAGAACCCATGTTGAGCGGTGTAATAGATATTGGAAGTAAAAATACCATCGTTTTGCCTTGCAGAATAAAAAAAAAAGAGTGCAAAATTTGAAGTATTCAATAAGGAAGAAAAGATAAATGCAACTTACTTAAATGTATAATTGCCCGGAAAACGCAAATCATTGATCTGAAGGGTTGGTGAATCTGACAAATGGGGTTCGTACTGCAACGGTCCTTGCTGCAGTTCCCAATGGTAATTTTTTATTTTGGCATCATCTTTGCTGCTGGATCCATCTAACACTGCCACAGTATTGGGTAACTTGATTGTTGAATGGCTGGGAACTATCATGGCTACAGGTGGTTGGTTTAATCTCTTTGCTAGAACAATAACAAAGGTGCCAATTAGCTAAAAATAAAATGGAATGAGAAATAATGGCAAGTAACTTCAAGGGAAGAATAGGGGGATAAAATAATAGACCGTGGGCCAGCAAGGGGTAAACCCCCCCCCCCCCGGGGGTGGGAATTTTGAAGATGGTGATATTCTTGAAGTGCTCGACTGGTGGAATAGGATTTTTTTTTACGCGAATTCTATCGTGGTGGAAGGGAGTAAGCCCCCCCCCCCAACCCTCCAAAATTGCTCAGAATTCCGACTTTTCCGCGAATTTTCCCTTTTTTCTCGAAGAGGCTTGATTTTAGGGCAAAACTCTGCGTCACAAATTTGAAAGCTCGTAAAATTCCATTCCAGAGAAGTTGCAAGTGACTTTGACCGTGATCCATGGAAACTCCAAAATTGGGGAGCATAAAATTTCAAAATATCTCAAATTCCCGAGAGAATGACCGTTTCGCCGCGAGTTCTCGCCAATAACCCAGAGAAGTTTGGTATATCGTAAAATTCTTTATCCCTGAAATGATAGAGAATACATTTTTCATTTGAAGGGCAGCCTAACCCCTCGCGGGAGGGAGGGGGCCCCTAGCAGTACCCACCATGGAAAAACCGTCAAAATTGGCCGCTTCCTTGAAGTAGTGTTATACACAAAAATGAGTGGCAAAATGAGAACTTGTTCTCGACTTTCAGGGCTTGTCATTGACACTCTCACACTAATATAATATAACGAGGGCAGGGAGGAGGAGGGTACATCCTCCCCCTCCTTCTCCCCCCCCCCAAAATTTTTAAGCTTACGTCAACATTTCAAAAACATTTGGAGAATAGGCCCGAACGTGTTGGATCACTTGCAAAAATATGCAATTATCCCAAAAAAATAATCACGAAAAAAGTTGAATAAACGCGAAAATTCCACTTTAAAAGGTGACTTTTAGGGCCTTGTTATGGACACGCTTATACTAATATAATTTAACGAGGGGGAGGGGGACGGTGGTTAAAAAACCGTCGATGTCCTCCCTTCCCAAAAAATTATATTTCACTCTTGCTTCCTGTAAGGTCATTGAGAGTTTTTGGCATTGTTTCTCAAGAGATCCAGTCAAACTTTAATGCTCCCCATACCAAGCAATGGAGATGTTGCATGTGTGAGGAATTTGCGATTTGACTGTTGATTCTTATGTAAAAATTCGCGAGAAACACGATGTTGCCACTTGTTTTCTCTGAAATCAACTCCCAAGCTCAAAAAAAGCTCTCAAGTTGAGGCCAAAATGGAGGGGATACCCCACCCTACCCTGAGAGTCCACCTCTACATCAAGACAAACTCTCCATGCAAAGATAGGGAGCAAATACATTGACAGGGCTACCACTTTATTTGGGGACTCTAAAATTGAAAACACGGCAACCCTGCTAATGTATTTGCTCCCTATCTTCACATGGAGAGTTTGTCTTGATGTAGAGGTGGACTCTCAGGGTAGGGCGGGATATCCCCTCCATTTTGGCCTCAACTTGAGAGCTTTTTTGAGCTTGGGAGTTGATTTCAGAGAAAACCAGTGGCACCATCGTGTTTCTCACGAACTTATACATAAGAATCAACAGTCAAATCGCAAATTCCTCACACATGCAACATCTCCATTTCCACCCCTACTCCTCTGGTGGTGGTATTTAAGGTTAAGTTATGTGAGCATTGTTCCAAATTTAATATTAGTAATTTACTGTTTTAATTTATGGTTTAACAGTGAACTTCTAGAATGCGATAAGAAGCTCAAATGCATGCTACTGAGGCTTACTGTTGCTGTCGTTCTTGAGTTGTTCTTGATCTGTTCTCGAGAAAAGGTCGAACCGTAGCAGTTAATTATCACAGCCCTGCGTTTTTTTGGTCATGTAATGTTGCATGGCATGTCTTGATTGATTGTTATGTATCTTTTAGCACTGAATTCGGGAAAAATATCCAAAAAATTCCATCATGTCAGGATTTTTCGCAAATTCAAAATTTTGGTTTTTTGTGGGGAAAAAATTTCCAAAATATTGAATTTTTATTTTCTTTAAATTCCACCATTGATTTTGGTCTGTAGTATCTCTATTAAGTATGATTAAGTATAAAGAAACCATTGCTTGTCAAAAGAAAGCCTCGAAAAGTGATACCTGTCCAAATTTCGTCAAATTTTATACATTTACAGGTGATTTTATCCCCAAAAAATCGTTTTGAGGTCAAATTTTTAAAAATACGACTCAAAAATAAATTTATTCCCACAAATTTTACTTCCGTTAGTGCCCACTAATCACCGTAGCAAACCATTCAAACCGAGGAAAATGCATTATTAGGGACTCTTGAGGGTTGCTGAGCTCACAAATTACAGATACTTCCCAAAAATTCACTTTTTTAGAATTACAGCTCCGTAAAGGACCACTGAGCAGCCGGTCGGTGCTCAGTGGGCCTCTAAAATATCGCTACCAAGCTGTAATTTTAAAAAAGTGAATTTTTGGGAAGTATTTGTAATTTGTAAACGAAGCAATCCTTCAGAGTCCCTAAAAATGCGTTTTGCTCAGTTTGAACATTCAATCTGATTTAATAAGAGTCAAATCCGACTTTTTTGCGCGCGAAAATCGGTCGGCCTGCGTTGAGTGGAAACTTCAATCGATCATAACTCCGGAACCGTTTGGTTCCCCAGCTGAATGGACCACTCGTTGGGTGCGAAAAAAGACGAACAATTTAAAAAACTGGTTTGGGTTCAAATGAAAAATTGAGATCTTGGAAATTTTTCGTTTAAATGAAATTTTATAGACCTAAAAACTGGAAAAAAAGCGCATATATTAACTTAAAAATGTGATATCGGGATTTCGACCTTCAGAATCTTGAAGGATGCCATTTTAGACGATTTTTCGACCAAACCAGACCTCGATATCTTTCTTTGTTTGAGAGATATCGAGGTTCATAGGTTTTGACTTCCACCCCCCCCCCCCCCCCCCCCCCCCCCCCCCCCCCCCCCCCCCCCCCCCCCCCCCCCCCCCCCCCCCCCCCCCCCCCCNGGGGGGGGGGGGCCAAAAAAGCTGTTTTTGCATCAAGCTCTTCTTCTTTCCCCCCTTTCTCCAGTTTAATTGATTGATTTTTCACTAAATTTCTTTAAAATTAATAGCTAACCTTTCTTCGTTTATTCAATGAAATTAAACGATTGGATTGCTTCTTTTTTTTGCTCCAATATTGTTCACTGCTTTATATTTTCTATATCCCATTTAATCAGTGATCCCATACATCTGATATGATTTCACGTTACTCTAACTGCACTTGTCTCGAGTGCTGACTTTATAGAAGGGCCTCTTTGTCTTTAAAGAGAAGAATTAAGATATAAGGGACATTTTTTCACAACCTTTCATACTTGTAACTAACCTTTATTTTACGGTGCGATTAAAATGTTGCTAAATCTTTTTTCATGGGCATGCTCATGCAACACTACTGTGTTGCAATAACCAACTTGTTTCATTATAATTTCAAAAACAACATTGCTTTATAATTTTACCAGCAAATTTAGAACAAACCACACTTAAATATTAAATGCAGAAATTCTCATAGTTTTTGGATATTTAAATTTTTTCAATGCACAAAATTTTTCAAGAACTAACCGCACTCTATCTGCCTGCACTTTGTCTAACTGATCTTTCTGACCGATATCCTACGTAAATTAACGTAACTTCTGAAAAAATTAGGTTTCTGTTATCAAAATACCTACTCTCTCCTGCTTAAAACTTAACAGGACAGGAGAGCCCAAAAACGATTTCATTGTCTTAAAACAAGTTTTTCTCCTTGGAAAAATTACTGCAAGAGTGAATAAGGTTTCTGATTAGGGGGAGTTGAACAGAACCGTTTAACTTGAATATGGTTACATGAAATTTCAAATTTAAGTTTGGAGACTGCTCACTTTGTTCTGTTGTGGTGAGTGTTGCACAAGATACAGCTGTAAAACATGGAATCGGCTCTTTTAAATCTCAAAATGGAGCCCTAGCACTTGTTTTCTGATTGAAGCAAATTCTTTGAGATACAAATAAGATATCATGGTGTCTTAGCAAACAACTACATAGCAACACACTACGTACAACAGTGCACATAGTTATTAAATAAGATGGCAACAAACTGACATAACGTGAAAAACATCTGGCTTTTCATTGGTCAGAGTCAAATCTCAATTGTAGATAGCTCACTTTGCTGCATTGATAAGTAACCTATTATACATTAGCTCCCAACACAATGTGCCTTAAGTTGGGTTAGGTGAAACCTCGCGTCAAGTTGACAGTGATGGTAAATTTTGTTGTGAGCAACACATTTTAAGACCCATTTTATTAAGACACAGGATCCACTTGAGTCGTCGTTTTTTTTCTCTGGGACGCAAGTTGGATGCAAGGCGTGGATAGAGCCTCAGAAGCACAGGACTCGCTTAACCGGACTGGGGATCTGAGAATTTCAGGGTGAGTTCAATCGTTTTATTTCAAATATTACTAGAACTTAAGCCTCTCTCAAACTGCATTTTTATAAAAGGTTTTAACTATGCCCCTCCCCTCTTCCCTTAAAAAAGGACAGTACTTGCAAGGCACCCACTGAATTCTGAAGTTTCCACCAAACGATGTACTTACGAGGGAGAACAGTCAAGTTGGCAAAAGTTTCACCATAGGCACCATCACCTGACACTGCAACTTTAAATGTATACAAGCCAGCAACAAGATTAGACAGTTTGAGTGTGCTTTCATTTTGATCAGTCATTATTCCACTACTGCCTCCAGATACTTTGGTCCACTTGTACTTGTATGGATGACCTCCTGTAAAATGACCAAAAATGCTAAAATATTATTTCCTGGTCACAGAGCCAGTTTGCAATTAAAGGCTGCTATAATATGTAGGCAGACAATAAATATCAAAGTTATGGGAAGAAGAAACGAAGTGAAGTTTTACAATTTTACATTGAGCCAATCGATTGACAAGTGCTCCTTTGGTATTAACTACAACTCATATACATATGATTATTGCATTCATACGTCAATTAGAGTGGCAATGGGTCATTCTGGCTTGTCGCAGATATTATATGTGGTTTAATATTGGAACAAATAAAATTGCCTGAGGGACTAGAATCTATTTCTCCTCACCACTGTCTATCTGGTAATATTATTGGGACTTTTTATTTTAGTGTTTCTTCCCCCTTTTCTCTTCTAATCATAATTTTT